TCCGGTAATCCATACCATCCTCACGGACACTCAATTTCAACAAGAGTGGCTACCCCAAGATGGTTCCCCCACAGAAAAGTGTTATTCCGACAGACCATACGAGCCGGGCTGTCTGGGCAGTATTCCGGCGGAACCCAGAGAAACTTTTCGCCGTTGCGTATCACCCATTCGTCTTGAAAATAGAGCTTCAACACGGGCTGTCGTTCCGATGCTGGTTGCGTGACGGTTGTGATATTTGGAATGTTTAGCAATCCGGATTTAACTTCAACGCTTGAAAAATCATCAGGAGAGCCTCCAATTTCCCAGAATCCAGTGTCGGTTTCAACCTTTCCCACTTCTGCCCCTGTTGCTATATCCAGCAATTCCACCATATGAGAATCCTTTATGACCAGCAATTTGTTATCTTTCGAGAACGCAATAGCTCCATTTCTGATTAAGCATCGGGTTTCAATGTCTCGGAGATGCTTTCCTGTGGAGACATCATGCAGAGCGATTATGTCGCAAGGGGAACCCGAGCGGCGGGTTGAGGAAGCGAGCAAAGATCCGTCATCTGAAAATTTACATGGGGTCCCAGTTCCAGGTTTGTGCAAGAACTGGGTGGTTTTCTTCTCCAGATTGCAAAGGCATATCCTGTCGTCATAGTCAGACAGAGCAAATGCTTTTCCATCCTCCGAGAAGATACAGGGCATAGCGCGAGGATAACGGGCCTCAATGTGACTTAGATCAAGCAGCAGCTCATTTTCGCCATTGGACAGATCGGTTAGGGTGACAGCCTTATCAGTTTGAGAAAAGGTAGTCAAGAACCTATTATCTTCTGAGAAGACCAGGTGGCTAAACCAGTTTCCGTTGATGAATAATTTGAGATTAACAAGGTTATCGCATATCGCAACTCCTCCATCATACTGTGAGGCGGCCAAGAGCTTAACATCTTTGGAGAGAGCAATGGACAGTATGGGAAAAGGATCCGTGTCACCAGACGACTTAGTTATGTTCAAATCCCAGAGTCTAACAGTATAATCCATCGACGCAGATCCAAGAAGTTTAGTATCTCCCGAAAGCGCAATGCTTGCTACTATACCTTTATGGCCTGTGAGGACGTGACTGATACTGCCAGATCCTAGATCTATAATGATAATGATGGATTCAGATGCCACAACAAGGAGCCCGTCGTTTTCCGCGAATGCCATCATCGACTTTGGGTATTCTGCGGTGAATTTGCGCAATACTTTCCCATTGGATGACTCTCGGATTAGAATCTAGCTAGGGGAGCAATGTGCGAAAAGCTTACGGTTGGCGGAAAATGCGGTCACAGTAGCCAAGCCCCCGTGGTCTTCAAAGGAGTGCAATGCTTCCTCGGTTGACGGATTCCAGATTTTTATCACATCTTCTGACATTGAGACAATATCCCCGCTGTGTGAAAATGAGAAATTGCGCACCCGGTGCTTATGTCCGGTAAATGTGCGCAATAGGCGTTTCTCACGTACGTCCCACACTTTGATTTCTCGTTCTCTTAGTGTAAAGGCTAGATAACTACCATCCCCGGAGAAACAAAGATGGTTATGCCAAGGAGGGTCGCCTGTCTCAATCGTCTGTAGAAGCTCTCCTAAATCGGGGTCCCACAGCCGTATGATATGGGGAGATGCCGACGCTAGAACCTTATCGTTCGGTGAGAATAGAACAGTTACGAAACGTTCTTCGGATTGAGCAGGTAGCTCCCGGAGTACCATTCCTGTAGACGGTTTAATTATCTGTATCGAAGAACGGGCCGCAATGGCGAGGAGATCACTATTCCAAGCAAACGCAAAGTCGTAGCTGCTGGGAGGATGTTGGAATTTTTGCCTCTGTTCTCCGGTTTCAGCGTCCCAAAGTATGACTGCCTCGTTTGTTTCAGCGGCAAGCAACTTATTATCGCTCGAGAAGAGAATCTTTGCAATATATCCAGTGTTGCTATCAAGCGTCTGCAGGGTATCCCCCCAGTCAGTGAGGAGACCCGACACACGGCGGATCCACGACGGGACATGATCTTTAAACTGCTTTTTGACAACGCTGCTCTCTGGAGCGAAAGCCAAAGCTGACGAATAAACCTGAAGAGGTGCAGTATGTATAATCTGCCTGTTTCTCAGAACGAAACGTCTTGCGTCATTGAGGAATAGTGCTAGAGCGTTGCTCTCACCGGGCTATATTGTTAAAACGTTAGTTAGAGGGACGACGAACATTTTTGAACACAGGGCTACTTATTTACCGCAGTTAAATTTAGCAGCGTTTTGATCATTGGGATCGCCTCTGAAATGAGGCCTTCAAGCCAGTGAATGAAACGCTCCTGAAGGAACTTATCGACTCGGTCCTCATCGCGGATATGATCGCCACTCTGCTCCAAATGATATACCCAATGACGGCAGGCATACTTTACTTCATTCGGGAGGCACATATCTATCGTCTTCCTGTCAATATCCACTCTAAACGTGCCAGGTACTTTTATATCGCAAATGTTCGTTTTCAGAACCCCAGGCCGAGATAATAAGTCAAGGCATCTAGAAGCTACGCGCTTGTGTTGGTTCATTTCGTCGAGAAAGAACGGGGATTTGCCGCGCTTTTTTGTGTCGATAAGGAAATCGCGGAATGAAAGATGTGACAACCGGACGGGGGAATCTTGGTTATTTGGAACATTCAGGACCGAGTGAAGCATTTTCAGTCTTCGGTCGACCTCCGGTTTTTCAAGCCCGAGGAGATTTTCCAGTGAATTTGTGGACAGAGGCTCTGTGAGAATTATAATTGAGCCAACAACTTCTTCGAACTCAGCAAGCATAACCTCTTTCTCGTCTTCATCGAGACCAGTGAGTAACTGGTCCAGCACTGGAAGATAAGTTTTGTCGAATTTGGATGTCTGCGCGGCTGTTCGGTATTTTAGTACCAACCCTAGGCGCTTTTCTGGGTGGAATCTGGGATCGCCAACAAATCGACACGTAGTGGCCGCAAAAATGAAGAGCGGTAGCGCCATGTCCACGAGGATGTTGAGGCGACGTTGTCCAGGCCAATCTGGAGGTAGAAAGGAGTCGGACGTGCTGAGCGATTGGTTATGATCGTCCTTGACTTTCGATAGTTCATGCTTCAGAAAAACTGATATATCATGCGCAATGGCGGGGCGTGGGATATCATGCAATACTACGTCACGATGCATGTCTCCTGCCATGGCCTTAAAAACCCAATCGAATCGGTAATTCCGGCCTGCTAGTTACGAAGATCCGCAAGTTTATCGACTGAATAGTTTTCGTCCTGGCCAAATGGTGAAGGATGGCTATTATATCTTGCTCGCGTTCGCATTCATCTAAAGCATCAATCACAATAACGAGATGTGGTGCCTTTGGAAACCGTCCCGTCAACTCAAGCAAAGGCTCCAAAATAAATTTCTCAAATTGCTCGGTAAGAGCCTTCTTGACCAAGTCAGGATCTGCTTCAATAGCCTTTTTCACATGTTCTAACAACACCGGCAATTTGGACACCATCTGGGCGATAATGGTAGTGAAAAATTTCGCTGCATGGCCACGGTCGCCTTCGCCCCTTCTGAAAAAGAAGCTGGCACCTAGAAAGCCCATGCCAGAAAGGGTTTGAGCCACAGTTCGTGAAATAGTAGATTTTCCGGTACCAGCCATCCCATTTAGCCAGAAGATGGCCTGGGACTGTTGATCCGTTGCCCAGTTAAAAATCTGCTGAAGGATATCCGTTCGGGTATCAGGGTGGCATTTTGGGTCACCCTCGTTGGCATGAGAATCGAAAGATGCCCCCTCAGCAGAGGGTAGGTGCGATAGAACTGTTGAGAGTGTTGCGTTATCTTGATTCTCTACTATGCTGAGAATAGCAACTCTGTATACACTCATTGTTAGATAATAATCCCTTAAAGACCAGTTCAAATTGATGTGTGGCTTACGTTTGATCAATCTGCAATGCTAAAAGTATAGTATTCCTACATCGCTCCATGTTCTGGAGACGTTTTTCGAACTCTTTGCTCTCGAAGGGCCACTTTAAAGACGACCGAAATTTGATGAAACCTGCGATCTTGCGGGGCTTCTTCGGCTTGACTCTGGCTTCCAGCTCTGAGAGCTGCGAGTGGCAGTCGACAACCGCATTGTGTAGTTTCTGCGAGGAAGATAGCTTCGCGGTATTGGGACCATTCAGAAGTTGCTTGGCATCATCGAGAATGTCGAGCAAGGAATTGATTTCCTTCTCGAGGAGTAGTTTATCAGCAGACGCAGCCCTGACCGCATTGATATACGTGAGACACTCAATGGCAATCTTCGCGGTCACCTCCACGAGCGCAACAATATTTGCAACTGCACTGACTGCTTCCATAATAAAGCATCCTCAACGCATAGAAGACAATCTTCATCAACGAAGAAGCGTAATTCACGAAAGGATAGAATTGCTTTCTCCATGATCGATGAGGTTCAGAGTGACAAGCCATGTCATTGCCTGCCTGCCAGCCTGATCCCGAAGCCGCCAATTACAAGGCGGGCGCTGCTCTGCATTGGTGTCACGCCATCATTAGCTGGAGTTTTACCAGTCGATTTGCACATTTAGGCGCCATTGGGCAGGATATATGCATCGCTTCGCTGTGCAGTTTGGCCGGTGACCGCACCCAATTGGGCGGAGGATAAAGGCTCAAACGACGACTGAAACCGCAGTGGTCTGCCATACGAACAAAACGACCTCCCAAACCAAACAATATCTCATGCCTCTCCTGGATCACATTCCTGAATGTTCGTAAGGGTTTGTCGGGTAGTAGCTGGAGGCGACCCTTGAACTAGCCCGAACTAGGGCTACGGGCCGTGAGCACCCGGCGGGCACTAGCAGACGTTAAATTAGCTTATCTACCCAATATGCCTCTAGATATAGAGTAGATTGTTGAAAAATGATTTTGTATAAGTGAAATAAATGGATGAGCCTGTAAGAATTACAGGGTTCTTATAACTGAAAGGTTAACCTTGGAATAGAGGTTGTTACTTAAACGGGCTTACCAATCACATTCTATATAATTTCGCCACCCATCTCTCTACTTACTATGTAACCTGTTTACGACACCCTTTCGACTCCCTTCGATAGCGAAGCATGGAGATCCCAAAAGAAACACCAGAGCCGTATTCGGCCATCCTAGTAATAGAAGAGGAATGGGCATGCTGGGACAAGAAAGCCATTATGAAGGCGCTTTTTGATCCTGTTGAGTATCAGAAGTAGAACTCACCACCTGCCTTCCTATTGATGAGAGCTGTTTCTCCTTTCAAACATGATCTCATCTATGCTATTCATAGCTTCGTATAAATAATCAAGCTGATATGCTCGTGCTAGGTGGAGAGATTGGAAACTCAACTTTGCGAAGGAGCAAATTGAAAGGTTTACTGTGGCACAGCGGCCTGACATGGTCGAAAGTCTGAAGGAGCGTTACCTTCCCTATGTTTTCTCAACCGTACTCCTCCAGGACCTCCGTAAGTCCTCTAAATGTCTACGAAGCGAGGCCAAAACTTCTTAAATGAGTCTCAGCTCACAAATAATGTTAGTATTCCACCTTCTGAACCGCCAGGACTTCAACCTATAGCCTACTATCGTCTAGAAACCCTGAAGGAGTTGTACGATGCGGATTGGACGACTCTATATCGTACGAATATCAAAGCTGTTATGGAAGCCTACAGAAATGGGACCCTGAAAGTCGTTAGTGGTGCAGTATCCTACTGGTATAACGGTCATATGAAAATTGCCCCAACTCGGGAGCCGGTCAATTTAGAGGAGGAGCTGCCAAAATGGAGAGCAGAACATGGGCCGGAGGGCATTGGGGCGAATCGGTACGTTTCAATTTACTTTTTCTGGGCCTTCAAACAAATTGGGCATTGGAAACCAATTTTGTGTGTGTTATCTTCTAGGTCTCTGCTCCGGTTCCCCAACTTGCTTCTCTGTCTACTCATCCGCGCGATCCTCAGAGAATCCCCAATGACCCACGCGTATACGAACAATCCGATATGCTTAGCGTAGGTTAAATTGAGCTTCTTTCATTGCGGGGTAATCCTATGTATGTACAATAAAATGATATCTTATTCCGTCCATGTTTCTTCTAGATCTATGTGAACGTTAGGCTTCCTTGGTCTGTATTAATACATACCATTCTCGTGCTTGACGACACAGGATCTGCTTATCTCGAGCTATTCAATGAAGACTGTTCCTCACTTGGATTTGACCCATTCATGATCCCGTCTGATATAGTTCGAGGTTCTGTCGATCTAGTAACCGCTTGTGTTGAAATAGAGGCCCAGTTTTTGGCGACTGATCTCAATTAGCCCCCCATCCAAGCTCTAGCCACTGTAAGGCGTGACGTGTTTGACGGAGAACGAAGCCGGTGTTCTGGACAGATTCTCAGAAAAGCGTTGTGTATAACAACTGCTCCTGGGGACATTGGGAATGGAGCGCTGATTGTCAGCACTCGGAAAACTCATATCATCCGTGCTCTACTAGTATAGGAGCCCTCCTCGCCACCCACGCTTGTAGTCATATGGAAGGCCCTGGGTCCTATATGCACAAGTGCAAAACCTCGCCCGGGTAACTATGTGTTAAGGCACACAAGGGCTTTTTTCTCTCTCTTTTGTTTCACATTTTCCTTTTTTCTTTTCCTTTTCCTTTTCCTTTTTTTTGTCCTTTCTCGTGTTCTGCTTGAATCATTCGATTCACCTATAAGGACGTACATAGTTTCGCTAGGGTATAATAAGAACGCATCTGCTACTCTGATTGGTGAATATTTTTCTGAGTTTCTATTGGTCAATAACGCTGAGCTTCCAGCAAAGTTACCGTAATAGACTTAGTTAGCGCATGATGACTAAGCCTCCTGCTCCAGGCCAACCAAAAGCGGGCAAAAAAGGCATTGAATTGGAGGGCAAAGATCGAAGAAACGAAAAAAGAAAGCAGCTTGACGTTGTCGATATCCAACTCCCGTAGTTCGCAGTTTGAGTCTCTTCCGCCAGTCGTCAAGCTTCTTCGGTATCTCTTCTGATAGGCGAGACTAGACGCCAATGCCTTGACGATGAAGTTCTTCGAAAGCACCTTCAACTACGACTACGCTTTTCCCGCTGTCTCCCTCGCCTACTTCCTCCGTTATCCGAACCCTTACTCTCGCCATGTCCTGACGACCGATGTCATTGATCGCTATGTCGATCCTATCACAGAGCGCTTGCATACTACCCGGCTGATACTCAAGAGATCCAAGATTCCCTCGGCCATGTTGAAGTTGCTGCCCAAGGGAATTGGTGGCAGTGAGAATTCAGGCCAAAGTTTTATCCTTGAGACTACCGTTGTAGACCTGAAAGAAGGCTGGATGCAGACGGAATCGCGGAATATGGAGTGGACGGGCATCCTCAGCGTTGTGGAGAAGCAACTATACCGACGCCTCCCTCCCCCATCGGAAAACGGCAGCTCCAAACCCCGGACGTGGTGGTCAGGCTCGTCCATTGATGAGCCAAAGGATGAGAGGACAAGCGTGAAAACCACTGTTATATTTCGATCAAGCCTAGGGCAAGCGATGCTCAATCGTCCCAAGAAGATCGACTCTTTCTCAGCAGGCGAACATGCTGAGGAAGATCCTCATAGCAGACGAGGCCTCCTTGCATCATGGTCAACGGCCGGGATCCAGCGGACAATTGAACTCGTGGGCGTAAAGCGGACCCGAGATGCTGTGCTGAGGAGCAAGCAGGGCATGAACGTGGTTTTGGAGCGGTTACGAAATGGCGGAATCGTCGGTGTCCTGGAGGGGATGCGGGAGGATCGTGAAGCTGGCCATGAGGGGCCGTGGAAGCGTGTCTGGATGCACGGCGTTCACGGTCATCACGAGCAACCCCATTCCCATAACAATGCCGATGACGATGGTTAAGTTGGGATCTCGCCAGCGGACATGGAATATCCTCGACACCCTGCATTATCCAGCATTGGAGTAACCAATTGCCCTTCAATCGCCTCGTGGCTTTGGCCCACTCAAACATAATTTTCTACTTCATACAACAAAATCAGCATGGTGTTCTGGCGTTACGGTTCTGGATTTCAAACATCTCCTATTCCTTTGTTTCTACTTTTGAAATTTTGCGCCATTTTGACCTTTTACATAGTTGATTCTTTTTCTTTTCGATGTGATTATTAGCATTATTATTTTTCTGTTAGCTGCACAAAAAGCTGGCAAAGGGTGAGCAACAAAAAAGGAAATGGCCCATTCCTAACCTGTACATTATTCTACCCGTCAGATTAGATATGGCGCATGGTATATGGAGGTTGGCGGTTGGGTGATTGACTGCCTAGTGTTGAACAGGCGCTCTGAGTTGCCTGTTCTTCATGTATTTACTTACCTTTTTTTATATATATATATACATATTTTCTTCTTCCTTAGCCGTCCTGATATAGTTACACCGGATATATAGGAAATGCAACGCTGGCTACGCCCTTAGAGAAGATTTCACCGACAGACCCTTTGCCTCATTTCGTAGCTGTTGCGAGAATCCGATTGTACAGTACTATACAACATCGATATTACCAGTATATATATTATTTAATGACAATCATAATCAGTTCTTAAGTACTAGTACATTAGCTTTCCATCATTTTCACGATATTATATAAACTACTATGCAGGTGTGTGTTCTCCGCAGTTTTCCTGCATGCAGCTAAATGGTGGCTACACATTAAATATTCCCCCTCCAAACTTTGTCGACATCACCAGCCCACCACCACAGCCTTAAGGAGCCCACGACCACCCGCCTCTACTGTGGGATATATCCGCCTATATCGACGCAAGAACACATACCCGATATCAATGGGTTAGTTCGACTCTCACGGATATAAAATAAAAGTCAAAGCGCTCACGCTAGCCAAAATCCACAGACCGTCTGTCGTCATTGTTCCGCAGCCCTATCTATCCGACGACGCCTGCATCGCATATATATATTGGGAAAGAAAGATATATAAAATATATAATACGAAAAATACTCGGAATATCAATCTCTACTAAATCGCCCCATCCATGGCGGCAGCACTCGATGAGGAGGACCTCTCCGTATCCCTCCCATCCCGGGAGCGCGATAGCACCCCGTCGCACAAGAACCGCGGCCATCCCGTTATACCACCAAAACGTACCCGTCTAGACTACGCCGATCAATCTCCTGACACTGCCCGGGACATGCAAAGACTGGACCAGTACACTACCGTTAAGATACTGGGCGAGGGTTCGTTTGGCAAAGTCAAGCTGGCAGTGCACCAGGCGAGCGGGAGGCAGGTAGCGCTAAAAATCATACCGAAGCGGAAGCTGCTTTCTAGGGATATGGTAGGGAGGATTGATCGGGAGATACGATATCTACAGCTCTTACGGCATCCGCATATTATAAAACTGTACGTACAGTGATTTTGTAGTTCCCTTCTCAGATTTGGATGTCTTTTTGGTATATTTCAACTTGCTCCAAGGATTTTGTTGAACTAACCAGATTATTTTGTTGTGGGGGTATAGGTACACCGTGATTGCAACGCAGACCGATATTGTCATGGTGCTCGAGTATGCGGAAAAAGAACTTTTCGACTACTTGGTGAAGCGTGGGAGATGTAGCGATGAAGAAGCCCGCAAGTTTTTCCAACAGATAATTTGCGCAGTCGAATACTGTCATCGTCACAAGATCGTTCATCGGGATCTGAAACCGGAAAATCTGCTCATTGACAAAGATAGGAACGTCAAGATAGCCGATTTCGGCCTGAGCAATATCATGACTGACGGGAACTTCTTAAAAACGAGCTGTGGGAGCCCCAACTATGCTGCACCGGAAGTCATATCGGGGAAGCTCTATGCAGGTCCAGAGGTGGATGTATGGAGTTGTGGCGTGATCCTTTATGTGCTACTGGTTGGCAAGCTTCCGTTTGATGACGACTATATTCCCGCCCTATTTAAAAAGATTGCTGCGGGAAACTTCCATATGCCGTCGTACGTGTCGACCGGTGCTGCCAAATTGATACGGGCCATGCTACAGGTACATCCTGTTCATAGAATCACCATCCCAGAGATCCGCCAGGACCCTTGGTTTCTTAAGAATCTGCCGAAATATCTCCAGCCCCCAGCAGAGGAGTGGGTCAGCTCGGGAGCAAATCCCAACGGACCCATTGACCCCCGCAAGATCGCACCCGGGCGGCCACTTGCTGTACAGGAGAAAATTCAACAGAAGGCGATTACCAAGCTCGAGCAGAGAATGGGTGTTGATAGGGAAGACATATATGACGCGTTGAAGAACCCGGAACCAAGTGCGATCAAGGACGCGTTCTTCATCATGGTGGAAAATGAGATGATGCAGACGAACTGTAGGTTTTTAATTTTCAGATCCCAATTGATATTTTTATTTTTACGAGCATGTTAATACTGACTTGTTCGTAGCCCCTACCGACTCTAGCGAATCGCCAGTCACCTCACCTGTTTCCCCAGAATCCTCGGCTTCACCTATTCCTGTTGGTGGCTCTACCCGTAGCGCCAAAAATGCAAATCTGGCGGCACCCCCCGCTCATCGAGGGCAACTCTCAACATCCCCCCCTCCAGCATCTACACCGTCACCGGTGCCAGCGTTCACCATTCCAGAGGTCGAAGAGGAGCGCGTCAGCCATGTACGCATTCTACCTACGAGTTTACCGTACGTTCACACACAAATAATGGACCAACGGGAGAGGGAGCGACATGCTCCGTCTTACGAACAGTCGACGGAGGAATCGCTCGGGCGACAGCAACAGCAGGACTGTACCGAGATCGAGACGGATAGCCACAAAGAGAAGTCTCCGGAAGAGCAGGCTGCCACTGCAAGGTCACTCAAGCCCCATTCACGCAGCCTTGTTGATCTGGAAAAGCTTAGCTTGGAGCCGCCCGAAGGGCTCGAGAAGATTTCTTCGCAGCCGAAAAGATCGCGTAAGTGGCAGTTTGGTATTCGATCTCGCAACCAGCCATATGAAGCCATGTTGTGTTTGTATAAAGCTATTCAGGCGCAAGGTGGCGTTTGGGAAATCCAACCTGCTGAATCTGGTAAGTCTTTTATGTTATTTTACTAGTCATTAGTTTTGATTAGAATAAACCCCAGTTAACATCCCCGTTTCCCGTACCGCAGACAACGATCCCCCGGCAACCCCTGAAATGTCACCAGAAATACCAAAACCCTTGCAGAACAAATATCCCAACCTTCCATCAGACTACTACATCCCCAAAGATCTCTGGTTCATCAGAGCCCGGCTCCTCAAGGAGGGAGTCCTTGCTCCAGGTCCATCAAACAGTAGCCATTCCAGCCGCAGTGATCTAGAAGAATACCGTCGACGAATCAACCTATTAACAAATCCGGAAGAGAAGGCAGCTGCCACCGCCGCCCTGTGCAGGAGTAATTCGGTGGATAACCCAAGCCTGACAGGCCCTGCCCCCACAACTTCTGGCGGAACCGGTAGTGGCAACGCTAGTGGTGCAGCTCTAGCGTCCTCAACGCCCGCCCTAGGATCCTCGTCCTCATCCTTACTCCAGCACCCCGGCGGGATTGTACACGGCGTTTGGGTATTCATCGATATTCAACTATACCAATTGGAAGAGAACAATTTCATGGTCGACTTCAAATGCGATGGGTACCAGAATGTAATCCGTGTTGAGAACGAGAGGGGAGGTAGTAGTGGTAGTGCCGGTGCTGCTGAGTGGAGGCCGGTAAGCAAGCGGATTCGAAATAAGGAGAAAGAAGTCACTAGCCCCTTCCCATTCTTGGACGTTGCATCGGATTTGGTTGCGCAGTTGGCTGCTGCGAATTAAGCATTGGGTCATTTTCTTGTTCCTCTTTCGGAATTTTTCCTTACATTTGCCCTAGCTACCTCCTTTGGTCATTTAGGTGTTATAGTCGTGGTGTTGCTTTTTGCATTAGGCCCTTTCTCAGACTCAAATCCATATGTATGATGATGTTGATGATGATGCTGACGACGATGACGATGTTGCGATTTTCGGTTATTCGATACCATTTGCTCTTTTTTTATATGATTGCTACGCATTGATGTGACATACAGACACACATCCAGAAAAAAGGAAACCAACAAGGTATTTCAGCGGAAGGAGAATGAAATAAATTTCGTTTTACGATCATTTCGGCGGCGTGTTGCATATTTCCGATGCTTCCCGGGCCAGTCAACACCATCCGTACATATGTCGAAAAATAAACATATCCCATTTCTGGTGTTTATTCACTTGCAACGCCTTGCCATAACTTTCGGAGAATGTATACCAGACGACGATAGAAAAGTACGGATATCCAGTGTGTTTGCATATTATCAAAAAGGAATGGAAATACCAGGTTTAACGTTATTTATGTCTACCGCTACCGCTGGTTCGGTATTACAATGATACGGCTACATCAATATTGGAGTTTGAATTATATGTAGGTTATAATCATTTCCCCCTTCTGTTTATTTCACCAACTCCAAAAAGGAAGAAGACACACAAGAAAAGGGGCCGGGGAAAGGAAAAGCGACCAAATGATGAGAAATACCATATCGTCATCCTTAGTCGTATGCCCACTTGGGAAATTCATACATCTCATTCTCATCTTATTCTGTCCCTGGAAAAGGCCATGAATTCGAGGGAACGGGGCTTTGTTTTTCATCGGGCCAGGACGAATATTTAATCTTCTCTCTGATGATCCCTACTTTATTGATTTTCCCCGCTTCTGTTTTGTGCTTCGTTTCCTACTGCGTACCGCTCACTGACTGGCTTCTAGATAGGACCCCGGTTCCGGTGGTAACCATTTGTTGGATTCTTATGTTCCAAGAGGGCCATATATTTATAAAATGCACTTGTATGGTGTTCAGCAGGGACTCTATATACATGTATATATATGTATATTGAGTTGCCCTCTCTGTTGTCTCTTTGCCGCGGGTCCAGACATTTCCCAGTTTATTAGTTCATATTAATGGAAAATTTAATCAGACCTGGGGGTGAGTTATGATCCCTCGATCTCAGTCATAGCAAATCCCCCCTGTCCATAACTAGAAGTTAAAGTAAACATGGGATACACCACAGCATCTCTATTAGGGGCCCCAACGTTCCATCCAAAAATCACGTGATGGCATTCACATCGACTCCTTGGCAACAGACGTCACCGGAACAAAAGCTCTTCTACCATTGCCATTACATCATCTTTGTATCACCGATCTCCTCTTACATACCTAGGTAGCTAGCTACTTAGGTAAAATACAAGTCAATTAGAAGCTATTTCTTCTGGTACAAAAGTTTATTTCAGCGCATGTGCTAGCCAGGAGCCACGATGGAAGCTCCCGACCCATGCTCGAATCCCATGGATCGAGATACGCGGCAACATTGTAGCGACTGTGAATGGCGAAATTGTTTGGGTGGTCGGGCCAGGGATGTTAGATGAGTACATAGATCCCCCGTCTGTTTTGTCTTTCCTTGCTGACATGGGCAACGACGTGGAAGACCCCTCCCCTTTGATTTTGGCGTTTGACAGCTTGCTAATCTGAATTGATTGACACAGGCAACACATCAAACACGGGATGCTATGAGCCCATACTTTCCCCCTTTGACTCCGGGGTGGTAATCTTGGAGTGTAGCTTTTGCTAGAGCGGGTAGATGTGTCCTCTATAACTGTTTGAATATACTAGTGGTGTGGGATTTGGGCCACAGCTCGACAGAATATAACTGCGATGAGATGAGATTGTGATACAGAATGTTTTGCTCCATCACGGCTTGCTTTGACAGAAAATCTAGGCCTGCACCACATGGTATGACTTCTACCCTGGGTACCTAACAGAAGACTGCATTAGATGTACCGAGCCACATCTAGACAAAAAGAGCAATTTTAAAAGAGAAAGTCAAAAGTGGCCTTAAGTATATACCTTCTGATGAATGCTGAAAAGAAAGTTATATGACGTAGGTATTTGGTCAACCTGCCCCGCAGCCCGAATATGCCGAATTGCCCCCCCCCCCCCTTCTGCATATTTCTCACCCTGCTGCTTCTTTCTTTTTTTTTTTTCTCTGTTGAATTCTAAATCGTGCAATTCATCTCAGGAAGTTATCAATTATACTCCCCTATTTGGATCTGACATACAGTGCCTAATATTGCAACATTCGGTATTTCAATTTACTTTCATCACATCTCATACATTCTCGCCATATAGTTGGTTAAAGGGCGTGCACAACGAGGACCGTCAAAATGGGACTGAGAACGGTTAACCTAGTCCTTCGGGGCATTGAGGTACGCAATCGCAGACGTCCAACCAGACACTCTTGGCTTCCGCCCATGAGAAGAGCGAAAGGAAGGCGGGAATGGAAGAGAAGAGATATGATAGCTGATATAGAATGCATTTCACCCACTTAGGCCATCTTCACTGTGATTATCATGGCACTTATCGGCAACATGATATCAGATGCATTTCACGACAGCTCGTCAACAGTGAACTACATCCTCTTTGTGTCAGCGTTTTCAATGTTGACGCTCTTCTACCTATTTGCTGCCGCGATCAGCGAGGCATTCATGATCCACCCTAGCGTCGTGTTCCTTGTTGATCTACTGAACACCATCTTCATTTTCTGCGGTGCTATTGCTCTGCCGTCGAAGCTGCGTGTGCATTCCTGTAGCAACGAGGTACGTGCAGAACAATTAAGGTTGAAATAGTGGAAACCTCCAAGGTTTTAACGATGCTGACAATTTGTCTGTGGTGTGCAGACATACACCTCAAGGAACTCGATAACCAGGGACTCCCCGAGCCCAGAAAAGCGTTGCCGTGAAGCCCAGGCAGTTTCTGCCTTCCTTTGGTTCCTGTGGGCGGCGTTCTTGGCATCCACGGTCATCTCTGGGCTCGGTATTCGCGGCATGATGGTTGACATGCGTGGTCCACGTCCTGGCCGACGCACCCGCCCGTCCATGTCCCAGGTGTAAGAAAGGCTAGATCTGTTGTCGGGGGAAGGGAGGGGGGGTGGAGACTGTGAGAAGGTTCGATGTATGTGATGTTAAAGTGTAAAGCGAATCGTGCAGTTCGGTTGTCGATGTCATTGAGGGTAGCGATTTTGTTCCTCTAGGGCAGGGCATTCTTTTTAACGATTTCAATAGGTTTCTGGCGGACAAGAAGTTCAAAGCTTAGCTTACGATCCTGAAAACTTGGATTAGGCGCGACTGTGTGACTGGGAACGTGGTGACCCCAGGCAAAATGAAAAAGGAAGTACGAAAATAAGCGATTGATTGATGAGTTCTATCTGTCGAGGTCTTGTCGAGTCGATGTGGTTTTTATATGGCACAACACTCATCCAAACCCAACAAGAACAAAAATATCCAAATATCCCGGGTGATGGATCTTTGTTGCATGCATGTGTGAATGATGCATTCAGGCTCTTGTTTACCCTTCTTGAGTTTCTTGTCAATTCTTATTGGTTTTCACACATCTACTACATATTCAGGCTATATCCAAGTTTTTTGCTTTTTTCATTACACTTAATGTTTCATCAATGGGTGAGAAGGGAGAGAAGTGGTAATGGGCGCTTGCTGTTGTGCTGTTGTTCGCCTGGTAATTGAGCTGGGCGATGGGTTCAGAGGCTGGGTCCTGTATATATATCTATCCGTCGGCGTTCGAGGTGGTTATTTCCGGTGTACATTACAAAAATGTTCTTAAGTTATGGTGAATTCCAACTCTCCGACTTCCTGGATGAGCTCCATGTACTGTGTTGAAAGCATCATTATTTCCTCAGGGCATGTTCGGTTGCACATACAAGTCTGTATAACCTTGTATTAGAAGACTCATTTACATGCTCTTGCGCTAGATCCCACTCTAATGCATACTATTCGAATTTGATGCTATTCAACCCAACTGAATTAATTATATATAAATAAAAACTAGAAAATATTGCGGTTAGGGTATTGGGGTACTCTATGTCCTATATTACCGCATCTACGCTGCGTACAGCAGCTCCACCCATTTCCACTTCTTTGGTCAGATTTAAGTATGAAGGTCAAATGGCCAGATTGATCTTAGGACCCCTTTCGTCTTTTACCGGCTCGTCATAGTCATTTGTCAATATAGCACTCAACATACCATTGAACAGGGAGACAGGTCGCGTTTCAAATCCTGGGCCGCCACGAAAAGCTTGTACTCCTTCTCAAGATCTGCTAGTTCTTTTGGTGTGGGTAGGGGTATGCACTGGAACCTGCAAACCCTAACTAACTCTTTTCCAACTTCGAGAAATTTCAAGTAGCTCATGATGAAGAGCCACAGCGCCGTGCTTCCATGTCCCGTAGCTGTAGCGAAACGGTCGAAAAAGGTTTTCATCCATCAGCCTAGGTTCAGAAAGTTTTGGCGTCAAAAAATTGAGAGCAAACTTCAGAAGCTTTGGCGCATAGGCCTCCAGGTTCGGTAGGCATAGTAAAATCCGGTACTTCATCTGCATATCAAAAGGCTGGCTCATACTAGCTGATTGCCAATCAATAATACAGTTAAAGTAGAAGGATCATCTTCTGACACAAAGATGTTCCATTTATGTAGACCAGGGTGGAATCACACTGGAGTGGCAGCAGACTGGATCTGAGGATCTGTAGACATTTTCTTTAGGACAACGTGGGCATATTTTAGGAAGTTGAGATGCGCTTGAATAGATCCTAAAAGGGTTGACTCTTAAGCTCAGGATCAACTGGCGGGATTCGTGAAAGACCAGCTTCAATTATCGTTCATATCCATGGATGGGAAGAACGTAGGGTTAATTTACGGTGATTACACCATGGATCCATTCCACACGTGTCACGTGTCGCTGATTGTAACAGATCAAGCATGGCTAAGAACATTCAAGTTGTTAGGACTTGGTTACATGGATATCGGGGTGGCAGCAGCTTTATGCTAGGATGTAATATTACTGATTCTTGGAGGAGAGAACTAGATAGTAGAGGAGCAGAGAATGAGTATCAGCTCCGGTCTGTGGTTGTGACTCTGAGGAATCTGAGGATGCCCATCATCATCATCATTATCGTTATTAATTAATGTTATTGCCCGTGTCCATTCACACCCCGGCCCGCTTGAGCTTGAGGAATAGGTGGTTGCGACCGACCGTTACAAATCCTGGCCAAGTATGTTTGAAAATGCGGTGCGTTTCGTTGGAGAGGGACATATACGAGGAACTAATCATAATAAATATGTGGAAGGTGTAAAGCTTGTGTGATTGAAAGGTTGCTAGCTTGTGGAAAGTTATATGGTGGAAGGATTAGTAAGTCAGATCACATGACCTGACACCCCCACTCACCAGAGTAACTGTACACGATGCTATATACAAAATTCACCTTCAAATCAAGTACAGGTACAAAAAATGACTGGAAAATGTGAAGTAATGAAAAACCAGTCATGATATACATCATTTTTTATCCCTCTATCCCTTCATCTTCATAATCTCCTTTCAATGTGTATATTTCAACATTTCAAGTGATTTAGTAAGCTCATCCACTGTGTTCTCAGCAGATGAAATATATTGAATAGATATCTCATTCTTGCAGACAAGATTCTGAAGAATGTGGAAATGAACCTCTATATGCTTCAAGCAGTGTAGAATTGCTTCAGAAGAGAATAGCTCTATGATAAACTTATTATCAGTATGGATTGTATAAGTCATATCATTGACTGTGGTGGAAATGAGATGATCATTAGCATTCAGATTGTTGAGACAGAATGAGATGAATTCAGTATCTTCTAGAAGCTCTCAGAGACAGATAAGCTTATATACAGTCTTGAAGAATGCAATATATTCAGCCTCTGTTAATGACTTGAAGACCTCTGTTTACTGACAGCTTCATCATGCAATGAGGCCACCTGTCATGTAGATGATATAATCAGTGATTGAATGAAATCCTGAATTTCTATCAGCTCAATCAGTATCTGTGTATACTACAGGTTCAATTTCAGCATCTCTGTGATAGGTTATACCCTCATTGATTGAACTCTGTAGATATTGAAGTGTATACTTGTATATAGCTCAGTTCTTTAATATAGGCTGAGAGCTGAATCATTCAAGAAATTCTGCAGCAAAGCTCATATCAGAATGTGTATTAAATGCCAGATATTATAGAAATCTGATACTAGATTAATAGAACTGTAGAGTAAATTCTGCTGTGTATGTAATCAGTTTCTTATCATTATTAATGAAATCAATATTCTTCTTCATAGAAGTGAATGTAGAATAATAATCATTTATTGAGAACTTCTTCAGAAGATTTCTTATAAAGAGAGATTAAGACAATATTAATGAAGTTGAATCTCTATCAATCTTCATTTCTAGATAGTGATTGAAATTCTCTACATTCTTAATCTCATAATTAGTGATAATTTCAGCTTTGACTCAGTTCAGATCTTCAATTTTCAGGCTGTAGAGACAGATATCATTTATATAGATGATTATATAGATCTGTCTTTCATCATGAATAAATAGTTCAGTATCATAGAGACTGACATGAAAGTCTGAGTATAATAGTATCTTTCACAGCTTCTTATATTATAAGAGTGCTGCTTACTTAAGACTGTAGAGTCTCTGCATCAACTCACACATAAGATCATCACAGTCTTCATGAAATTCTGTGAATTGATTTATATATATCTGTTCATCAGCAGGCAGTTGAGTGTTTAAAAAAGCAGTCATCATATCAATCTGCAGAACATATCATCTCTGAGATACTGAGATTATCATGAGAGCTTGTGAGATGAATGCAGAGATAACAGATGTAAAGATTCTTAAGTAATTAACTCTCTTTTATTAATGATTTCTGCAGATAATTCAGCAGATCTTATAGTGAATAACATCACTTATATTATTGAACTTTTTGTCAAATACTCATTGACTGTGAAGAACACTCATTTATGATGTTCTCTCAATCAGTCATCAGATCTCTATCTATTTCAAATAATTGATCTCTTTAACACAGGTCTTGTAATAATATTTCTATTTCATGAAAGCTTTGACACATGTGAGGTTTTTTGAGATCAGAAATACAGCAATCTTGAAATTGATGAGTAGGTCTTCAAGACTGTTCTTCACTGAAGATTCCCTCACTGTAGTGATATCTCTTGTAGATGTCAGAGAATCATTCAATTCAACTGTGAATTCTGAGAAGTTTAGTGTATTCTGCACTAAAAAGATAGGTATTCTCACAGAGATATTATAGTCAATTCATCAATTATTAGTGAGTACAAGAAATAATAAACACTCAGGTTGAATTTCCTCATTAATGAACAGATCATCTATTGATGAATCAGAAATTGCTGAAGGAATTATTGCAGTAAGTAGATCTGATGTCACTGAAGAAATTACTGCAGCCGCTTTATAAGCTGTATTGAGTAGAATCTTTGAGTTGTGTGAAGTAGTTGATATCAATGAATCAGCAAGATGAAGGTTCTTCTGAAAGATGACATCTTTTGATATGTATAAACATCTGTTGAAGAGATTCATCAATCTATAATTGATAAAACTATCATATTTCACAAAAATCAACTCTTTGAAACAGAAAGCTATCTTATTAATGAGCTTGAGAACTATCTTTAAGAATGCTTTGCAATCTCATCAGTAAATGCCCTGTGCAGAAGGTAGAGCTTCAAGTCAGACCTTATACAGTGTAATCAGCTTTGTATTTTCAGAGCTCTCATACAATATCATTGAGGTTAATATAAGGTTAAGCAGCTCTGTGACTGCAATAACTGTCTTATCTCATATCTTTTTCAGAGCTGAAGAGTCTATTAATAGTGATCAGAACTTCTTAATAATTAAACTGATTGATTATTCAGATACTTCATCTTACTGTGAAGTATGAGAGAGAGTTAGTTCTCATTTTATATCTTTACTGAGTATATATGCTGTGACTGTATTTGAATTCAATTCTTCATAATCTGAGTGAATGATTGCAATGTCACATCTCAGCAGATTCTTGATAAATTGATTGAAGATCTGTAGATATCTCAATATCTCATTCTTGCATTTTAATAGAAATATTCATCTCATTTAAGTGATATTATCTGTAATCATCATTACAAGCTTCTTACTGATGTAAGATGATATATTATTCTCAATTTCAAGAGTCTCATCATTACTGAATATATTCACTCAAATCTTCAAGGCTTGCGGGTGATACAATGTGGTGTGAAATTCTTGTAGAAAGTGTGTTTCTGTTTGATCTTAATATATGTGACACAGAATGATAATTTCTTCAGACTGATAATAATAATATTAAATTGCAGGTCTCTGATCATTTTTAATATACTATTTTTACTGATATGATCAAGTCAACAATGCCACTCATCTATTGAAAGCTGTTTCAGAAGAACTGCAGATAATTGAGATAAAGATGAGATAATAAAGAAATCAGTATCTGAATTCTTAGAGTTGATTAACTGTTCAACCTTCTTGCAGCTGAAAGGTCTCAAAGACTCAGCTGTAACGTGACGGAACCGAAGCGGTGGCTAGTCGGCGGTGTCACGTAGAGGTAGTTGTTTAGAAAGCTGTATGAGTGAGCTTGACTATCTTGCTTGAATAGCAAGCTTGTAGGCTACAGAGTTATTGCAAGAATATCACAGATATGATACTTAGTATTCTAAGAAGATTATATAAGACATGCAGTAACTCTTATATATATTTCAGTTGAAGAAAAAATGAATCACTGACTTCTTTTATAAGAAGCCAGCATCTAGCTATTCTATATAGATAATGAGTGAATACTCTTCTCTTATTTCATAAGTGAGAATAGCTGAAGTAATACCTCAGCAGTATCTCACTGTCAAGAAAGAGTAATCTGCTGATCTTATATAGAAGCAGAGTTCTTATATTCATCAATCAGATCTTTCTATAATATATCTGAATGATATCATAGAGTGGTTGAAAATCAGTTCAGACAGAATGAAATCATCTGTATGAAAGTGATAAGCTGTGTGAAATCACAGTGAGGTCTTGATATAACTGAGAGTGTGACAATATTCTTCTCTTTAAAAGCATAGTTCTGATGCTCTTAAGATTATCAGATTAGAAATTATCTTTGTTGTATAGTAATGATTATCAACTGATTTAACAGCACATGTACTACATGTGATATAAAGAAATAGATAAGTTTTTCTGCTAACTGTGTAGATCTTTCTTTTCTTATCTTCATTCAAATCAAATGCATGATAAGTGAGTTTCTTATATATTGATTTGAAATGTGAAAAATATAGTTAATAAGTGACTTACAGATCTCTTATTATATTCTATTCTATGTATGAAATTCTCTGCAAAAGTGATGTGTTTTAGAGACAAAGCTAACAGTAGTGACAGAATTTTTTGAAAAGATCTCTCTCTCTGTGAAACATTTTTCTTCTCTCTCTCTCAATTATAACAGTGAGTGTATGAGAGTATCATTCTTGAAGAATAATAAAGAACTTATTCTAACATTTTCTAGTGAGTAAATGTCTTTGTAATGCAGCTGCAGTCTTCATAGCTGTTAAGAAAGCTCAGTTGAAGGTGAAGACAGTGATGTTAATGAACTATGAGAGTACTACTTTCATTATCACATCTTC